TGTTTTGGCAAGATAAACAAACTCAACAAACTTTCAGCCCCCTCTCATAAGTCAGGTCTCCATGGTCATCCCAGTGACCCCGCTCCGCACATCTCTCGCTTTGTGGTGAGTGTCCCACTCATCCAGCCATTGCCCACAGTGTCACAGTCTGGCTGATGGGTCTGTGGTTGTCCGGGTCTCCTCAGCCCCAGCTCTCCATCCCTCTTCTGCTTGTACCTGGTTGTGTTGGCGATGTACAACCACGTGGCATCCCCCTTGTGCATGGGACATGCCTCACGCCCGTGGAGACCCCCCTACTTGGGGTATGTTATGATCCATACGGGAAACCCCAGAGTCATACGACATCCTCGGAGCATGCAAGGCTTGTTTTTCTCTGGGACAGGGCAGAGAGGGTGGGGAAGAAGGTGATGAATTCCAACCAGTTGCCTCTAGTCATGGAAAATGTTTGACTGAGCATAAGGTCTATGGTACAATTCCTCTTCTTCCTGAATATACTGTGTTTCCTAATGCCTCCTGTCCTCTGGCCAGTGAGGGAGGATTGAGAATATAAAAGCAAAACTAATTTAAGGAGAGACTAAAAGCAGTGTTGTCAACTCTTGTGGCACTTTAACTTTCTTCTTTAAGCTTAGCTTAGCCTTACAGACATTTTATTTGATCAAACTTATATACTTTTCATTTCTAAAAGAATTTCTCTAGCTTTTGTATTTCTAGAGAAAAGAACTGGAATTGTATACACTGTAGTTCTCAAAGCTAGAAATCACAAGGCAAGTAAAAGCAACAACACAGATCAAAATCTAAATGAACTTTATTTTTAGCATAAACTAGAGATAGTATTTTTAGACTCATCTTCTTAAAGCTTAGGGGCTTACCCACACTGAATAAAACTTAAACCATGAGGTTTTAATGAGAATAGGTCAAATAATACAGATTTTTACTTTTTGATCAGTGTACCATTCAGTCTTACAAATGACTATCATTGCTACAGAAGGACTTGTAGTGGAAAAATATCCAAATATGTAATCCAAACTGCCTCAAAAGAAAAAGAGTCCCTGATTCAGGAGAGGACTTGCACTTGCTTCCCACCCGCTGCCGCAGCCCTCACTCAGCCCTGCGCCTCTTCCCTTACAGACAGCAGGGAGAAGGCAATGGTGTTGCACGCCTGGGTTTCAGTCAAGGGAGGGCAATAATACACCCTGCAGCCTCTAAGGCACAAGAATGTTTTGGGTTTCATGCCGAAGATTAGAAAAGCCACAAGGGTGGGAACAAAGTCAGGACTCATAGTCATTTTAATCAATGACAGGACACAGCAGATGTTGGAGAGGGTATACCCACCGCAGTGTACCTGACAACTCTCTCTCCTGTTCACTGGCACCAGGCGGTGCCACAATGTCTCTTGTCTCTGGCTGGTGGTAATGGGCTCACTGAAGAACAAGGGCTTGTGGGTGGTATTGAGGTCATGCAATTCACTTCTGTGCTAAAGAACCAGAAAACCTTCTTTGAGAGTCCATACAACCTATTTGCATACAAGCTGAGACTTACAGAAGCAGGTTCCTGAGCAGCAGGATGGCATTTAACAGCCTCTTCCCTGCAGATTATTCAGTGTCTAATACGAACTGAATTCACCTTTTGTAGAAACTTAGTATCTTGAAACTTCTGCCTGTTTCTCCAATTCAGCTGAAATCAGCCAGTATCTTCCACAGTGCTGGGTGTGTGTGGGACAGACGGAACGAGACAGCATGATCACATACGTCTTGCATTCCTCGGATGACAGCCAAGGGGGAGAGGCAGCTCAGAGAGCTGGTAGGGGTGTATAACCAGATTAGATAACTGACTTCCCGCTGCTGAGAGGGAGAGACAGCACTGCTTTCAGCACTCCTGATCCATTATAAATAAGTGATGTCATGGCTTTAAAAAAAAATCACCTACTATCCTGCTCTGCTTCCCCCAAAGATTGCTGAAATGGCTTGTTAAGAAAGAATTAAGATGTAATAAAGATGGAGAAGAAAGAGGAAGAGAAAAGCAACAATGCTAACTCTTCCTTCGGTTTAAACCAACTACAGAGCATCCTGGAAGAATGGCAAAAAAATTAGCACTGTCAGAAAAAATAGAGCAGTTGCTTTTTCCCAATGTGGTTTTTCAAGAGTATTTAACATTTGGATATTTCCTTTCACTGCTTTCTGCCATTCAAATATTTTTGTTATTTAGCTTTTCAGATCAAAAGTGTTTTTTCCTATAAAATATAAAAAAATTTCCTAAGGCAAACTGTTTTTCTGGCTGACGCAATAATCTGTGGTTATCTGAAGAAGGATTAAATGGAAAACTGAAAAAGTAAATGAACTTACAGAGCAGACCAAGTGACCCAAGACTCAAACCTTGATCTGATGCAGAGTTTATTGAGAAATGAACAGCCAGGGTAGGGCTTGTGCACCATGGCACAGTCTGTGTGCTGTTCACAGGGCAGTTATAGTAGTGAAGACTGGAGAGCTGGGAACTCAAAGAGCAACATGTGGACCAGGCTGGTAAACACAGTTCTTTCCTGTTTGTTTGGGGGTTTTTTGGTTGTTTTTGTTTGTTTGTTCATTTTTTTTCTCTTTTTTTTTTTTCCCCTGTAATAAAATTGTGGAAGAACATTCATTTTTCAGGTCAAGAGGGTCTTCATTCAGCCGCAGGGGACCTGTTCCACAACAGTTAGGCTCCTGGATTATGCTTGAGGAAGATGAAGAAGTGAGAAAGGCTCCAGATAATCAGGGAAGGAGAAATGAATGAAAAGTAAATATCAAGAAATACTGAGCAAGGATGGATGGGCAAAAAAAGAAAGGAACAAAAAGCCAGAGTTTGAAGAAAGAAGTGCCCCTCGTTTGGCCTCAGTGATATGCACAGGGGCCTGAGGTCAGATTCGAGGATTGCACTTGACAATGCAGCTTCTGTGTTTCCCTTGATAGACAGTGGATCCAGATGGGGAAAGTGGTCATCCCTTCTGCTTTTGAGGTCTGGGGGAGTCAAGAGCATTTCCCTGCCCACTACATGGAGGCTCGGTTGCCTGATCAGAGGGGCAGGGAGGGGGCGAGGGGAAGCAGCCAGGGCCCTTGTTCATTGTTCCTCAACTCTCCTACCCACTGTGCGCTTCATTCCCTTGGGCAATGTTGCAGTCACTATGCTGAGTATTTAAAAAAGGCCGCAAGGGGCCTGGCAATGGTCCTCTCCAGCAGACTAATGCCGCCCTTTCCATCTTTGCTTGGAGCAATTTGGTGCCTCTTCTCAAACATGGGCATTCAGCCTGCAGGAAGGGTTTCAAGAGACAGACTGGGAAAGTCCCCCTGAAAGAGTCCTTGGGGAAATGTGATAAGCTACCTAGTGACGATGATAAGGGTCATTACTGGGTATAACCCATCAGGGATCAAGAGTACACTTCTGCCCTTCTCCACTCACGAACCATTTGAAGATAGTTCCTTTATAAGGACCTCAAGTGCAATAACATTTGAGAAGGACTATGAGGGGAAAGGCAGAGGCTGGAGGCTTAGGAAAGAATTAACAGGTCATTTTGAAGAATATCAGGTCTAGCTTTGAAGCTGACCCTGCTTTGAGTGGTGGAGCAGGTTGGATCAGAGGTTTGAAGAGCAAATCTGAATTATTATTTCATTTCATGCTTCTATGTGAGAAGTGTGATTTTTTTTTTTCCTATTCTCTTTTAGGACATTTAGTGGGGCAACCAGCAAAATAAAGACTTGGATAAGGGATTGCAAGTGAGAATTGTTCTTGCTAATACCACCCAGTACTGACAGGTGTGATACCAATAAAAAGAGAAAAATGAAGTGTTCGTAGTATCACAGTTGCAAGAAAATGACTTGCTAACTTTTCTGTCCCAGACATAGCCTTTGATCAGAACGTGTGTGCACATGTATAGTCCTAGGCAACTGGACAGCACTCCTTTCAAAAGAGAAGGAGCACATTATCAAGGGCAATGGGTCCTGAGAAAGTCTTCAAAACCATTGCATTAATACTTCTATACAGACACGCACATGTGTGCGCACGCACACACACACACAATGCAGAATCAACAGCTTTATATAGACAGAAATTATCAGGTCATTCAAACAACATTCACCAGCCAGCTTGCTTTATCCATCCAAGCAGTTTTATAGTCCTAAGGAGTATAAAACAAGCATACAATTCCTTCATGATCACCAGCTCATCTCTACATGTGTCTCTTCTTATGCCTGCTTTCAAGTTAGGTGCCTTCAGATGATTATTAATAATGATTTCTACTTTGACATCAGCATCCAAAGTCTCAGTCAATGCTGAGACTTCATTTTGACAGACACTGCACCAAAACAGAGAGGAGGGGACAGATCCCAACATAAACAGTTTTCAACTGAAATGAATGGCTAGTGGCAAGGGTAACAGAGAAACAGAGAATTTGTCCAATGCCCTGCAGAGCACATCAGAAAACAGACCATGCACCTCCTTACTGTTCCTATGGACTTTCAACAGTTAAAAAGATTTTGCCATAAGTATTTATTTTGCACACTTAAACCAAAGGGTTTAGGCTTAAATCAGGGTAAGTCAGAAGACTTGTATAGTTCGCATGTGGAACATAACATCAACATGTACTGTGGCATACTGGCTTTGCACATTTTCAGGCATATATACAGAGCTGTGAGTCTTCCAATGGAAGAAATTATAATCCCATCACCATTACAGAAAATTTCATTTTAAGGTGTATTAGGTTTGCGTGGCAAGGTTTTGGTAGTGGCAGGGCTACAGTGGTGGCTTCTGTGAGAAGCTGCTAGAAGCTTCCCCCATGTCCGACAGAGCTAATGCCATCCGGCTCCAAGATGGACCCGCTACTGGCCAGGGCCGAGCCCATCAGTGACAATGGACATGTCTTAGAACTCATTAGCTCCTTTCTTCAAGAGAAGAAATATCCACAGATTATCTGTCATTAACATCTCAGCCCTGTTTGCACACATTTCTTAGAGCCAAATTCAGTTGTCACTGACCTGTTCCACTCGGATATCAAATTCTCCATTCACCTTCTTCCCCTGGAAATACTTGGCCCTGCAGAAGAAATGAGAGACAAACATCGGTAAAGAAGATTTTTTTTTATTTCATTACATACTGTTTTGCTTCTGCGTTTCCCTTTTTGCTGAAGAATTTCTATCCAGGTCACAGCATGTTTTCCTAATTCCTATCTTCTTTCAGCTTTCTGTTCTTCAGGAGAAACCTGCCAAGCTAGATGAAAACCACATTGAATAGTTCCTCCAAGGCTTGTGACTTTTCCCTTTTATTTTCAAACTGAAAACCAAATGCTTTCCTAATCTTTTCCAGAGCAACAAGTCTAATCGATGATTCCTTGCTATAGCTCATTTAATAATCTTTATTCTGTAAAAGATGGAGAGCAGCATGTGGCATGGCATCGGAAACTTCTGATGTTGAGCAAGGATCTTTATCATCACAGCTGAAGTAGTCGTGAAGCCTATTCTCTTGCTCTCCCACTACAGAGCTGCTTTTTGATTCTGTTTGTCTTTCTGCTGCTGATTTAGAGAAACAGTATCTGCATCTACAGTGTCACTAATGAAGGATCTCCTCTGAACTGAGAAACTGTGTTTGCTTTGGAGTTGGAACAGTGTCATGGGAAGGACATACACCTTCCACCCCTCTGCTCCTAGCTGCCTATGCTAAGCAGACAACAAAGCACTTTCAGAAGGATTGGTTGTTCATGAGAGGGGAAAGCTGGCAGTAGTGTTGGAGAAGAAAACATAGGGAAAGGGCAGGCAGTTTTAGCTTTTTTATTCATATTTATGTATAATGCCCCTTATATTGATTAGTCAGCAGGGAAAATGCCAATATAATTTTCCCTGTGAATCTTTCTCCCCAATTCTTTACCCTTACCAAACAAGCCTGATGGAAGAAAATATTAATTTATTTTCTCAGACCTCCCCCCTAAAACTTCAGGAAGGCCTTGTAGGTTCCAAAAAGCTCTTCTATTTGGAAAGCATTGAAAACACAGTTAAGCCCTGCAAGAGCTGTTTCCAGAGACAAAGTAACTCTCTGCATTCTGTTTCCAATTGGCAAAGACAGGACAGAATAAAGAAGTAAAGGAAAATGAGGGGAAGCCGGCTTTGCTCCCTATTTTATAGTATTAGCAAAAAAAGAAGCTGGCTCACATTTTTACTATGTGTCTATTTGTTCCAATAAAAAAGGAGAGACAGTAGGAAGGCAATTTTCCCCATGGCTGAAACACACCAGTTTTCAGCTGAATGCTCCCCTCCCCCAGCATTGTGAAGTGTAAATAAAAAAGTTGTTCTGTTTTGTCATCCTGGCTCAAAAACAAGTCAAAAGTTTTCATTTTATTAGAAAAAGACAGTAAAAATGTCAAAAGTTTTCAGCTTTGCTCTAACAAGGCTATCTGAAGGCTGTATAACGCCTCCCTTCCCAGACAGCCCATCCATCAGCATGGTGCTACTAAGACCTCTGCATAGATATTGGTGAAGCACAGCGTAGCAGCCAGGTGTGACCAAGACCAAGTGGCTCGAACAACCCCTGTCCAGTATAAAAAGCAGGACTCTGGTAATTTTCCTCTCTTTTTTGAATTTATGAGTGTTGCATGTAAAAAAGCAACTCAGCAGACAAGAGGAGACATCACTCCTCTAACAATAAACAGGAACGCTAAATGCACTTAATAATTCCATTGTATTTCTAGAGGCATGGCTCTAGAGGGTCTGGCAACATTCCTCACTCCTAAACATTGGAAATATTGCTGGAATCAGTGACTTCTCAAAAACTGCAATGAGCTTTAAGTGGGCCCACAGGAACTGCTCTGAAATTTGAGGCTCACTATTCACTGGTACAAGCTTGTTTTTATTCCCAGCACGCTCATAATGTATACTCCTTACCCACATTTATGAAACACACTTCCTCCCTCTATGGCCTCTCTGCTTTGCTGACCAGCTGGTTGCAAACTCCTTGGTGCTGCTTTGCTTCAGCTTGTAATGAAGTGTGATTACCCACGGTCTTCAGCCCAGTGCAGATGGAGCAAAGAGGCTTCCACTGCCTAGTCCAGGAAATTAGCCTTCACATGGTTAAAAAATCCTCCCTCTCGTCTCTACAGTACTGGCTCTGCTCATGGATAGTCACACAGAGCACACATCCAGTGTGAGGAGCCATTGGAGTAGAGCAAGGGACCTTGACTTAGACACTGTATGGCCTCTCCTTCTTATCCCTCTTTCCACACAGTTATTGTCTCTTCCTGTGTCTCAGATAACTTTCTTTTAACAGCACAATATATCACTTTCTTTCAAGGACAGCCCCCCAGGAGGGTTAACCTGCTCTGAGTGTCTCTGAAGACTACAGGTGCTAAGCAATTTGCAGCCAAATATTTTGGTCAGTCCACATTTTGACACATCCCAGGGTAAGAATGAAACACTTCTTACTGAAACATCATTGAAATGGATGGAGTGGTGTTTTCAATGTGCACCTGGGGTTTTGGAGCCCCTGGGCAGTAGAGGCTATAATGTTGAAATGAAAAATAGCCTCATCCTGGAGCTCTTGAAATTTCAAGCAAACTGGAATCATCGCTGATGTTGTGGAAACATCATGATGCTTCTCTTGCAAGAGGGAGGGTCTTTTGGTCAGTATTGTGCAATGTATGAAATGTCTTCTGGTCCCTACAGTGGATGTGGGATGGAGGAAAGGAAGACCATGCTGCTCTGGTGGAGATGCAGAAGAAAGAAAGATGGATGTTTCTGGCAGGTGAGACTGTGCAAGGCATCTGTGGATGCTCTCTGCTCCAAAACCACCTGAGCAAGGCTATTCTAGATTTCTGCCTAGGAAATTACATGCTTCAGGGTTATCTAGACAGCCTGTAGTGCAGCAGGGGTGCAGCACCCAGACCAGTCACAAACCTTTCTGGGGAGCCTCAGAAGTGTCCCTCCAGCACAGCCAACTGCCAGTGATCAGAGGAGTGGCTCATTGCCCTGGGGAGGGAGGCTGTCTGGCATCCCCCAGCTTGGGACACTGGGCAAGGCACTGGCCACACAAACCCACCCCCCCTCTCCTGGGCAGCTTGCAACACTGACCGCCGCTTGGCTGACCATCCCTTTATTTTAAAGCATGTCAGATGTGCAACCTGCCGGAACACAGCGTTATGATTTGGCTAGGCAGGGTGCAGATGGGTTGGTGCGGTTGCTGTGATTGCAGTAAATTAGCATGTAAACATGTTTTGACTGAAAAAAACTGCAGGGCCATGCTGAAGAGCAGTTCCTAGGTGGGATTTACAGTGCTAGGCAATGCATTTAAATGTGGCTGCACCAGCTGGGAGGGATGAAGCACCATAATAAACAGCCGAAGGTTTGGCCTGGCTTCCAGGGAGAAAGCTTGCTGTAAACCCCACTCACTTTGTGATGAAGAAGCCGCATGCTCTGGAAAAGGACATATTTTCTGGGTGCAAGGGCATCAGGCAAACATAACTTCTGCTTTCTGCCTCCGCTCTGACATGATTACAGGCCACAAGAAACCTGATGCCTCTTCTTATGAAGTAATTTGGAAAGAATCAAAGCTTATTTTCCAGAGCTGCCATGAAACAGTCCCAGTCTGCCTCAGCGACCATGGCTGGAGAAAGCATATACACAATTTTCTGTGTATCCTTAATAGCAGCAGGGAAAAATAAATGATCAATTCACCTCCAATTACCTTCGTAAGAGCTAATTTGCAGAAAGTCAATGTATAACATCAATGGCTTTAGGTGTTTGCAAAGCATCTGTCTGAGCAAGGGATGCCAGCACTGATCCAAGACTGTGAATACACCTGCAAGACACTCAAATATCAGAGTTTATCCCTCTGGTGTCACCAACAGCTGGGACAGCTTGTACTGCACCTATACGTAGGGTGCCCGAATCAACGTGCTCCTGTGCACCTCCATGCTAATGCCTGTAGTCTGTACACGCAAATATTCAGTCCTCATGGGGTGCAAAGTCCCTCATCAAAGACTCGCGTGTCACGAGGCCCAGGGGGGTAGAGCTGGGCCAGTGGGCTTCTTTTTTTCTCTCAGTGCAAAGAAGCATATCCAAGCTGCTTCTGAGGACTACTTCAGTGTTTTCCTCTGGATCTGTGGGAAACAGAGACATCAGGGGTGCAGCAGGGAACTGCACAACTTCTGCCAGGCTGGAAAAAGTTTTGCACAGGTGAGGAACAGGAAAAGATGCCCAGGTATCAAGCATCACCTAGAGAAAGTGCCCAAGGAGCTCCTCCTCAGGTTCAGTGCCACTAGACAGCAGCTCATGTAAGAAAAGGTGCAGAACACTGGCCTTGGCACTGGGAAGGGAATAGCCAGGAGGAACAAGAGACTTGAAGTGATTGTGATGGCCTGGAGGAGTGCAGTGCTTCAAAGTTCAAAGCTGTTCCTGCAGGTCCATTAGCTGGGTGAAGCAGAGGTTATGACACGTTACGCAGCTTTGAAGACAGGCTGGTATTTTGTATCAAATTCATTGGACTTCTTCAGGGTATCCTGTAAAATGGCTCCTGTATGAAGCAATTTTCTAGGCTAGGAAGAGATCAAAGAAATATAGCTCAAATCTTCCTGTGGGAGACCTCAGTGGAGCTGTCGTAGCAAATGTCATTGCAATTGCTGGTATTATGTCTTGGAGTAAGTGGGAAGCCACCCTTCAGATGAACAAAGAAGCCTAAGCCCAAATCCCCTGTGATGTGAATGAACCCAGGCACTTTTTTGGGGCACTAGTGTTCCACAGAGGCCTTGACTACAAACTCAGGAGCAGGCTTGTACCTCCACCCCAGATATGGGCTCAGTATCATTGAGAGCCTGCCAAAGAGGGGCACCAGGATATTGTAACGGCAAAGTCCTCCAAATCCTCTGATTGAGGTTGTGCCTCTGGAATGAGACACAACAGGCAAAGAAAGCCAAGCCACACTTTGGATGGAGACCACTTCTTATCTGGAGCGGGAAGCAGCCTTTCCCACCCTGCGAAAGGGCCAGAGCAAAACATGGTAAGGAGAGGGGAAATGTACAGGACTCCTGGGGAGAGGTGGGCAAGGGAGTGGGT